ACCCAGTGTGACCTGGAGCTGGGATTCTGGGGCTTTAACTTGGGGCCAAATGGAAGGAAGAGAAACTAAGGGAGCAGTCCTGATCAGGAGCAGAGAGAAACTGGAAGAGTGGCTTGCCTCTGCTACTTGCCAGTGAAGGTCAAGAGAGACCATGCAAAAGGAGACAGAAGTAACATTACACAGGACGGGCAGTGGAGCAAGCAAGAAAAAGAGAAGAGAGAGCTGATAAGACAGATGAAGGTGGAGGGTGAAAGAAGAGAAAAACGGAGCAATGGGAAAGAGATGAAAGGGAGCCACAGGAAAGAGGCTGCCCTGCTTGGTTTATTTTCAGCCACGCTCCCTAACCTGCCCCCACCCACAGCTGCTCCCCCAAAGCTATGCAGCATTAGAAGCCCTGTGGTTAACTCTCATTAGCTTTCCCCACTCTGCCCTCTCTGACAAGGTGTGGGGGTGGAATCAAGGGGTGCATTTGGGGAGGGAACAGTCACCTCCGAGCCCCCAATTCTAGGTTTGGATCTTGTAACAGCCCTGCAAAAGCCTACACATCAACCTCTCAGCTGTTGCTAGGCTCTGTTGCCATGGTAGCGGCCCAGGTCCCATTTCTCCCCCCACCCCCATCTGTGCCCCACTTGCTCCCTGGAAATGGGGAGCTCCAGGGAGGAGAGGAGACTGTAATGTGCAAGAAGGCAGTCTGGGCTGCCCTGGGCTGTGTATACCTCCATGTGTTTATCTTTGCAGCTTGAATTAGCCATGTACTGGATTGGTAGGTGCGTGTTTTAGGTGTTGGGGAGCTTGCCTATATACTCAGGGAAGCGTGGCTGAGTCTATGCAGCATAATGGTGAGTGGGGTAGAGGGAGTGGATTCCTCAGGACCAGAGCACTGTGTGCATTCCCAGCATCAGACTCCCCGAGAAAAAGAAGCTGCTACAGAGGAAAGCAGAGCGGGGCCAAGGAGTGATGAACCAGCTAAACGCAGACGTGCAAGGCAAACAAGCTGCTGAGGAGGGCAACCCGGTGGGCCTGAAGAGATCCTAGCATGCAGATGGTGGAAGGAAGAGCCGGATGGAACCTGAGGGTGCAGGAAGAGGTGCAGCTGGGAGGGGTGCAGGCAGCGAGGGAGGGATCCAGAAGGATGGGAGAGGAAGCCTCATTAACCTTTCCCTTCTTTGCCCAGTGGAATCTAGTCCTTGACAGGTGGAGGTGGGGGAGAGGAGCTCTGGCAAGAAGGGAGAAAGAGCTCAGGTGCCTGGAGAGCACACTGGGCTCTCACCTTCCACAACTGTCTCTCTTCAGAGGGACAGTGTGACCCTGAGGCTCATCCATATGCAAAAGGCACACATGAAGTCCCCTAATGAAGAGGGAATTAATTATTGCCTGATTAGACTGTTTCTCTAAATTTAAATAAATTAAACTACACCAGCAAAACACTGGAAATCCTCACCTGTTCCTTCTCCCTAAATGCCCTCCTTCCCCATGGAAAGTCAGACAGGAGAGACGGAGGAGAAAGGAGGCACTCTAGTCTTCTGAGTTGTTCTAAAGGAACTACCCCACACTAATTCACATTGTCACACTACCACACTAACCAGGCAGCGTCTCGAGGCCACAGGGAACACATCCTAACCTTTCTCTCTCATGGAGTTGAAACTGAAACTATGGGGCCTTGGGAGGTCCTCAGAAGGCTTCAAGTGGTGTAACAGAGTCACTGCATAGTGACAGACCAAGAACATAAACAATGGCCATACTACCCTTTCGGTTCTTGGAGGCCACACATCACAGGCACTACTGGGGACCAGTGTCTCTTATCACTGAGCTTTCTTCGCTTCCTGAGCTGAACATCAAATGACTCAGCCGGGCTTCTCTTAAGCATTTTTTTTCTGGAATACTTACCATTGCGGCTCAGACCAAACCAGGGAATGGGGAAGCCCCCAGGAGGAGGGATCTCCCAGGCAGAGCTCAGGGTGTGGAAGTGATTCAAGATGGTAACAGTGTGCCAGCTGGAAAACCCCAGGCTAAAATTAACAGCCCTCCTCCCTCTACGCCCCACATTTGTCTCTCTTAAAGCTTTTCTCTAAAGAGTTCAAGGAACTTAAAACTTGCTTCTTACAGCAAGGGCAGGAGCAGAGTTGACAGTTGGAGACACTGAGGCCCAGGGAGTGCCGGTTAATGTAAGTAGGAAGAGAACAAGAGGAGAACCAGGACTTATAGTGAGTACCACTATTTTGCTCCCACTGTTCTATCTCAAAGTCAAGGTTTCTTGAATCCTCAAACCCTTGATCTCTAGCTCATGCGGCAACTAAATCTGGTCACATGTGAGCCCTTAAGACCCTTATCCTGGCAACTGTTGCTACTGGGTTAACAAAGACTGCCGTGTAGAGCCCAAAAATGTGATAGAAATGACAGACACTTTAATAAACATATGAACAAAAAAATAAAAGATACAAATGATTACAAGCCAAAGATACATATCTTCTATTTAGACATTTAATTAGAATGTTTATTTTTAGGTATTCTTTGCTACTTTCTTGCTGTGACCTTGGGAAAAATCACTTAAATCTTCAGTCTTATTTTCAGTATCTGTAAAAATGGGCATTATAGTTATTTCTAATAGGGTTATTTTGCTCTCTAAGCAAGAGGCTGTTACTGTTAATAGGAGGGACTTCAATTATGCTTTAGCCAAAACAGAGCTGAGTCCAGAGGGATTCTGGCCAGATTAGGGTGCAGGCCAGTGGCAGCATTAATTTACTCAAATTACATACAGTAAGTAGTCCCCCTTACCCACAGGGAATATGTTCTAAGATCCCCAGTGGATGCTTGAAACCTCAGCTAGTACTGAACTCTGTGTATACTGTTCTTTTCCTACACATACATACCCTTTCACTTAAAGGAAGCAATTCATGGCTTTTGAATTGCCGTATCTGAACTACCAGCATCACTATTCTTGTGCTTTGGGGTCATTAAGTATAAGGGTTACTTGAATACAAGCACTGTGATACTTGGACAATCAATCTGATAACAGAGATGGCTACTAAGTAACTATTGGGTGGGGATTAGCTCCTAAGTAACTAATGGGCTGGGAGTACATACATCTTGGAGATGCTGAACAAAGGGATGAGTCCCATCCCAGGCAGAGCAAGATGGTGTGAGATTTCATCACACCACTCAAAACAGCACATAACTTAAAACTTATGAATTATTTCTGGAGTTTTCCATTTAGTATTTTCAAACCATGGTTGACCAAGGGTAACAGAAACCACAGAAAGCGAAACTGCCGATACATGGGTGGTAATACTGAATAGTTATTCAGCATCTATGTGCTCAGCAAAGCAGTGGGAAGGATACTATGTATGAGGCAGTTTCTTCCTTGAGGAACTGACAATCTTACTGAAGAGCCACACATATGAAACTTAAAACAGCAACAAAAGGTACAGACTAAATGCTGTGGGAATTCAGAGAAAGGGGCCATTATGGATTGGAGCAATCCGGGAAGGCTTCCTGAAAGAGTTCATATTAAGTGCTCGTTTATGCAACAAACACCCATCACTTGCTAAGAGCCCGGCTCTGAGGATACAGTAGCAAACAATTCAAAGTCCTTGCCCTCATGGAGCCGATATTCTAGTGGGAAGAGGTGGTCAGCAAACAATATAGTATCAGGTAGTGATGACTGCCATATTTAAATTAAGCGAAGCAGGGTGAGGAGACAGCGATGTGGACAAGGGCAATAAGAATTTAGCGACCAAAGCAAAAGGAGTAAGGGGTGTGGTTAGGAAAGGGTCGGATATTGATGGCTAGGGGAGATTACTCTTTGGACCTAAGCAGGGTCCTCAGAAAACTACTAACACACCTTGTGCTTTTCCGCATCTTCAAAGCATTGAGACATTCTTGAGAATACAGTACAAGAAAAAAGAACGGTAACTCCCAACATCAGCCTATTCCTCCCTCCCGTCCGCCCCCCTCTCCACACCCAGGAAGGGAACCGGAACCTTCTTAGTCTTGAAGAATCCATACCTCCGCTTGTACCTTGATACATAATTCATAAACCTGTCGCGTAGCCACCCTCCCACTTCCCCAGAAGTCCCTTCCGGAAGCCTGGGGCCGCAGTTCCAAAGGTTCAGCTTCTGCCCTCAGCAGAACCTGCCTTTACTTCCGTTGTGGCGTCACATCCCCAGAGGGCTCTACTGCATCCCTGGGCAGAAGCCACTTCCGCCCCTCCCTGGCGTAACTTCTGCCCTGAGTACCCTGGAGCGCTAGCGGCGCCGGATGTGCTCTATCGCTCCCGGAAGTGACTCGACCTTTGCATTTCCCCCCCCCCTCACTGCCGCTCCCCCTACATTGCTATTTCCCTCCCCCCCTCTTTCATTTCTGG